GGACATGTGCTTGATGATGTCAAACAAACTATTATTACAATTAGGCCTGACCCCACCTAATCGTCCAATGCATGATGCTTTTAACCAAGAGTTGCACCGAGAAAAACTATGAGCTCAACACTTTGAAGGAATTAATTCAAACAAATCTTCCACTACTGAATGAACAACAAAAGTATTTGATGCTGTTATAAAAGTATCAAATGATGAAACAGGAGGGATTTACTTCTTAGATGCACCTGGTGGTACAGGAAAAACTTTTTTGACTTCATTAATAGTAGCCACAATTTGTAAACAAAATAAAATTGCACTTGCACTCGCTTCATCGGGAATCGCAGCAACTTTGCTTGAAGGTGGCCGAAAAGCCCATTCAGCACTAAAATTGTCATTAAATATGCAAATCAATGAAACACCAACCTGCAACATTTCGAGGAACTCTACAATGGCAAAGGTTTTGCAGCAATGTAAATTGATTGTTTGGGATGAATGCACAATGGCACATAAAAAATCTCCGGAGGCTTTAGATAGAACCTTAAAAGATCTACGGAGCAATCATAACCGATTTGGTGCTGCAATGATTTTATTAGCAGGAGATTTTCGTCAAACATTGCCAAAGATTCCACGTTCAACGTCAGCTGATGAACTAAATGCATGTTTAAAGTGCTCCAATTTGTGGAAACATGTCAAGATATTACATTTAAACAAGAATATGCGTGTTGAGTTGCAAAATGACCCATCTGGAGATATATTCTCTAAACAACTCATTGACATTGGTAATGGCAAATTTCCTATAGACATGTTCATGATCAGTTATCTTGATCAAAAGATGAACTTATTCAAAAGGTATTTCCAGATGTTGCTCAAAATTACAGAAACCGCGATTGGTTGAGCGAACGAGCTATATTAGCTGCCAAAAACATAGATGTAAATGAATTAAATTTAAAAATTCAAAAACAAATTCCAGGCGAATTGAGGATATATAAATCAGTTGATTCGGCTCAACCAACCAACCGCGTCTTTGCAACGGCACACAGTTAGGAATAAGAAAATGACTGAACAACGTGATAGAAGCAACTATACTAAAAGGAAAGTATAGAGGAGAAGATGTTTTGATACCACGCATTCCAATGATTCCGACCGATATACCATTTGAATTTAAACGACTACAGTTTCCAGTGCGGCTTGCTTTTGCTATGACCATAAACAAATCCAATCATTAAGTGTTTGTGGTATAAATCTAGAATACCCATGTTTTCCACATGGTTAATTGTATGTTGCCTGTTCCCGAGTTAGAAAAACATCAAATTTGTTTGTCTATGCGCCAGGTAATCAAACAAAAAACATGGTAGGTATATCACAAAGCACTACAATAAAATTAAAACTGATATTTGTTATTATTTGCGCCGAGTAAAAAATAGGTAGGAACAAGAAACTGCTACATTCCAAATGTGACTGTATAAGGAGCCAGAGTATCGTCGCACTGGTAGACGGCAACTCCTTATGCAGGTTTGAGTTAGCAATATTCAGGGGTGAGGGAGAAATCGCCAGCTCAGATTTTTAGGCTCATCGGTGCTGACAAGTAACTCGTACAAGACTGAATTTACTACTCGTTTTATTCGTACAAAATCTTAGTATGTATAGTCAACTTATCTACTATTTACTTATACATTAAACATGCACGCGTGCACAGTGCGTGGCGTGCGTGCGGCCCTTTTGGGCTGAGCGCAGCGATTGTGCGATTACGACCTTAATGGTTCCGCAAACAATCTGTCGATAGTTCGACATCCTGCGCCCCCAAGTCTTGCAGCTCCATCTCCGGCTGGTACTCGTGGGGTGTTCCAAGGACCGGCCCATTCTGGACTTTCTTCTCCTGGCCGGTCTTGCGCCTCCTGTACCAACTGTACAGGAAGTAAGCACCCGTTGCTATACCGGTTATGAGTGCGCCTGAAACAAAGGATAACGCGTGCCCATGTGAATTGGTTACCTCATTCCAGGATGTATTATCTTCAATATCTAATAGGCGTTGCTCCTCCTCAAGATATGACTTGAAGATCGTTATTTGGACTGAAGATTTTCTCGCGTCCATGCTCCAGCTTTGGTTGAGTGCAGTTAGTCATTGTCGTGATGTCGTTATTGTGGAGGTGCACATAGGAACCCTCTATCCTCGTGTTCATCATCTTGGTTGCCAAGAGTATGTGCCACTTCGTCTCTATGTGACAGTCGGGTGAAATTTCAATGATACCAGCCTTGTGTAAAAGAATATTGATTCTTTTCTCATTGCAGATTACCGAGATTGTGCGATTCACATTCGTGACGAACATCCAGGTATTTGGAGAGAGCATTTGTCTCCATACGATCGATTGTAGCTCGTGTGTCCGAATGCTGTGGTCACAAGGCTCGTTATTTTCGTATATTGCTTCGATTACGCAATTATCTTCTTTATCCAATCTCCTGATTGGTTGTGCTGGACAGATGTAGGTATGATTTTTAGTGGTGTCACATGCTTGTAGATTACTTAATGGAATCTGCAAGTATTGTTTCTTATCGTAATTCACTGCCATGACCTTATCCGTAATCTGGATTACGGTGTATGTTCTTTGAGTGATGTTGAATGGTACTGCAGTGATCTTTAGCAGATTAAATGGAATCACGTTGATGATAGGTAAATATCCAAAGATATTTATGTGTGTGGCGTTGTTTCTTGTTTCGGTGTTTGTGAGAACTTCCTGGACGATGCGGAGATTTGATGATAACCTTCTCGATGCTGCATTTGCTTCAGCAACATGGGATCTCCTCATCAAGTCGAACAGACTTGCTCTTTTGCGGCCTATGTGTATAACCATGCCGTATTGCTCATTGATTTCATTTAGACAGTTTAGTGCTCGCTGGTATACGCTGAGCATTCGAGTGTATAGCTGGGTAGCTTGTTCGTTTTTCCCAATATCTTGGGTGATATTTTTGAGTTGTGCGTGGAATTTCTCAATTTGCTCTTTGATTCGACCTTCCCTTTCACCGAAGGTATGTAGCGTTGATACCATTATGTGCGCTTGTTGTCCTTGGTGTTCTATTACATGTCTTTGGTTTTCCGTTAGTTTGTCGATGTCCCTGTAGACTTCATCGTTGGCCCCAAATACGGATGTTAGCATTGTTCCCAGAAGCCCTCTCCTTGCTCGTGAATTGCTCTGGTCAATTTCCTCTAAAAGGATGTCCATCCGTTGTGTTTCAAAGTCTAGATGATGCTGAAGGGTGCTGCATTCTGTCTTGTGCATGTACGCTACCGAAATGTTGCAAATGTTTGAAAAATGTAGCGCTAATAGTTTACCAGCTTGGATGTCTTCCTTCATTCTTTCCTTGCTCATGGCGTGCTGTATTTGGAACTGACCTTGGTTTATATGCATTATTCCAAGCTTCTCTACGTAGATTGCGTGATCGATAGTTTTTACCATAACATTGGCTAGACTTGGTGTCCCGGCAAGTAATATGAACGTGAATAGCCAAATGAAGCTAAGGTTGGGTAGCTCTTGGAATTTGTTTTGCTTCTTTGGCCTACCTTTGTTGGATGTGGCGACCGTTGATGTGATTTGTTTTGGAACTATTTCCTCAGCTTCTTCCGAGGGGAGTGGAATTAAATTAGTAATTGCTCGTCGTAGCGTGCTTCCTTGTGAGGTTCTAACGGTGACTGCGCGTACCTTTCCGTCCGTTCCTGGATGTATTTCCGTGATTTTTGCCAATGGCCAATTTGATTGATTAATGTTATTGGTTTTAATAATCACCACTGTGTTAATTGCTAAGTTTTCCATCTCCTTTCCCCATTTATAGCGATGCTGTAAGCGGCTAAGATATTCTGTTGACCATGCGCTCCAGAATTCTTGTTTCAATCTTTGAATTGTCCTCCATCTCTCAGAGTTGCTTCCGTTAATTTGGTCTTCTGCCAGATTTCCTGGATCCACTAATGCTTGTCCTATTAGGAAATGTGCTGGTGTGATGACATTCGCTTCTTTTAATGTGCTGTCGGAGCTATTGTAAAGAGATCTTGAGTTGAGACATGCTTCAATTTGACACAGCAAAATGGTCATTTCTTCATATGTCAGTGTTCCGTTTCCAAGTTAACGCTTCAAATGATATTTCATGGATTTGACTCCAGCTTCCCATAGACCCCCAAAATGTGGTGATGAAGCTGGTATGAAATGCCAGTCAATTCCCATATTGGCAATCCTGCCTTGCACATCGTTTGCTCGTATATTTTCCATTACTTCTTTCATAAGGTATTTGTTGGCACCTATGAACGTGGTTCCATTGTCGCCAAATAACTTACTCGGTCTGCCTCGGCGCGCTATAAATCGGCGGAATGCTGCTATGAATGTTATTGTTGTGAGATCACTTACGACTTCCAAATGAATTCCTTTGGTAGCAAGGCAGATGAATATTGCAATTTATCCCTTCGCACATTTGTGTCCTCGGCCTTTACTTGTTCTTACGTCGATAGGTCCAGCGTAGTCGATACCTGTGTGTGCGAAGGGTCTGCTTGGGGTTACTCTTTCCTTTGGAAGTTGTCCCATCAGTTGTACTGCGGTTTCAGCGTTGAATCTGGTGCAGGTGGTACATCTCCTTATTGCTGCTCTTGCGCTCTTCTTTAGCTGCGGGATCCAGTATTTTTTACGAATGTATGCTATCGTTGTTGTTATTCCTCCATGCAGGGTGGATATATGAGCATCCTGGATTATAAGTTTTGCCAAGTCTGTTGACGCTGGAATGATGACAGGATGTTTTTGCTCGTAGGGTATAGTTGCGTTGTTGATTCTTCCTCCAACCCTTATCAAACCTTCCCTGTCCAGATATGGTGTCAACGTTGCTATTGGGCTACCTTTTAGTACTTCTTTTTGCTGCTTTAACATACGTTGCTCCTGGCCTGGATATGCTTCTTGCGTCATTTTTATTACTGCCTTCATTGTTTGTTTTATTTCTGTTGCCGTAATATAGTTGCTCGCTTGCCGGTATCTCATTCAACGGCAATATGGCAAGATTCGAACCATTCTCTGCAGCGTCGAGAATCTACTCAGTGTGACATTTTCCTTAAGTGTTATGGTGTGAACTCTTTTGATTTCCTCTTCCGTCTGGTCGATTTTTGGCTGTCCTGGCCAATATATCTCGTCTTTCTGAATTGCTGTTGGCCCCTTCCACCAAAGGGTGTTCTTTACTAATTCCGATGCGTGCATTCCCCTGGAGATTATGTCGGCTGGATTTTCCTTAGTGGGAATATATCGCCAATTTACTGCATGTGAATGCCTTTGAATGTTGGACACTCGATTGGCAGTGAATGTGCGCCACCTGTTGGCGTCACTCTTGATCCATGCTAGAGTTATCATGGAATCCGTCCATGCATATGTTGCTGTGATGTTCATTTGCATTGCCCCTTTTGTTTTCGTTAATAACTTCGCAAGTAATTCCGCTGCACATAGCTCTAATTTTGGTAGAGTTGCTTTGCATTTGACAGGTGCGACCTTAGATTTGGCATGAAGAAGCGTGATGGAGACCTTCCCATTTCTCGTTGTCTTCCCGTAGATTACTGCACCATATGCTGCTTCAGATGCGTCGCTGAATCCATGCAACTCGATGTCCTCGTTGCACTGCAGCCATCGATCAATTTTTAGTTGGTGAATCGTATGAAGATTGTTGCATAGTGAGTCCCACTCTCTTTGTGTTCCATTATCAACTGGAGTATCCCAATCTGTTCCATTTATCCATAGCTTCTGGATGATACTTTTCGCCTTTGTTATAATCGGTGCCAACCAGCTGATCGGGTCGTATAGTTTGGATACCTCTGAGAGGATAGTTCTTTTCGTTGTGAATTTTGAATCGCATCGCTGCACCTTGAAGGAGAAGGTGTCCGTTGTTGGGTCCCAGAGGATTCCCAAAGATTTCTTGGGCATTTCTGTCGTGAACTCGTAGGCAGTCTGATCTACTATTTCTTGTGGGAGCCCTTCTATGAGTACGGGACAGTTGCTGGACAATTTTCTTAGATTACAGCCTCCTGTTTTCAATAGTGCTATCAAGGCAGTCTGTAATCTTGATGCTTCGTTTGTATTGCTGGCTCCGGAGAGAAGATCATCGACGTAGAAATCGTTTTGTATAATTTTCAATGCGTCTGAGTATTCTTGTTTTCCTTCAATTGCTATCTGTTGAAGGGTTTTAACAGCTAGATATGATGCTGGACCCAATCCATACGTGACGGTTGTAAGATTGTATTCTTGTATTGGCTGTTTTGGAAGGAATCTCCATAAGATTCGTTGGTATTGTTGATCTTCGTTGGCAACTTTCACTTGACGATACATTTTCTCTACGTCAGCAGTGAACACGATTTAATGGTTTCTCCATCGGAGCAAAATGTCGATTATATTCTGTTGTAGTTGCGGCCCTGTATGTAATTTATCATTCAGGCTACTGCCATTGCTTGTTTTGCAGCTTGCATCGAAAACTACTCGTAGCTTAGTGGTGCTGCTTGATTCCTTGAGCACGGCATGATGTGGGATGTAGTATGCTGTTTTGACTTCATCCTCTTTGCTGCATTTCTTCATATGACCTAGCTCCAGGTATTCCCTCATAAATGCATGATATAATTCTTGTAGTTTTGAATCTTGTTTTAAACGTTTTTCTACCTGCAGGAATCTTGCGACTGCTCTTTGTTTTGAATCTCCAAGTTGCGGGGGGTATTCCTTGAATGGTAGGTTGACTGTGTAAGTACCATCAGGATTTCGCGTTGTTGTCTTGTTGTAGTGTTCTTCGAAATAGTTATCATCGTCTGATAGAATCTTCTTTTCGTCTTTGATCTCTTCTAATTCCCAAAACTTGTGTAAGTTGCTGATGTCTGCCGCTTCGACTACCATGCATTGGATAGGTGATTTCGTTGGAGAACATCCCCCTGATATTATTTCCCCAAATTCTGTTTCCTGGCATATGAAACCATTCTTCTTCTCTAAGCCAGGCTTTATTATGTTGCTGTAATCGCGTGATCCCAGTAAAATATCTATTTTGCCTGGATAGGCGAACTTTGGATCTGCTAATAGCCTGTCTTTCGTTGACCATTGCGGTAAACAGAAGTCCGTCGTTTGTTTCTTCCTCTGCGGCATAGGACTGCTTTTTCCAATTCTTATTTCCCCCTTGATTCTGCTGTTTGTAATTATTATTCCTCTGGTATGCTTGCCTCTCTACGTGTAATCGTGTGTGGTGCGTATTATTGCAGACTTGACATCTGATTATTGCAGGCCGTGTTGCTTGGATGTTTTAGGCAATTCATGCAGATACCTTTGTTTTTTACCAACTGCCCTCGCTCGCTTGGTGTTTTGTTGTTGAAGATTTGGCACTGGGCGATGTAGTGTTGCCCTTGACAAATTGGACAGCCATGCCTTGATTGTTGATAGTTATGCGCTGTTCCAGTTGTTCCCGTGGTGGCAATTCCTTCCAACGATTGGAATCGCTTTTCTATTTTATTTCTCAACTTAATATGCAATGTAGAAGGTAACTTTCTTCCAAGTTAAAATGTCAAAATCATTTAATTTGTGACTTCCTTCCATTTGAGTACAGTCACAAGCTGATTTATTATCACATCTAATAGTGACTGGATACATAGTTCTACCAATTATATCTCTAATCGCTTTATACAAGGAAATTATTTCCTTACAAGCTTCGCTCATGGCAAGATATTCAGCTTGACATGTTGATGTAGCCGGAGAGGATTGTTTGTGGCTTCTCCATGCTACTGTATAACCATAAAGTTGGATTATGTAACCACTTGTTGAAGTCGACTTTTCACGATCTCGGAAGCTAGAATCAGTCCAAGCTTCCATAACTTCGGTTTTACCTCTATAGTACAAACCCAAGTCAGTGGTTCCTCTAAACCTTAGAGTCTAAGGTATTGGAAAATTCTTTTGACTTCTGTCCAATCTCCTTTAGTTGGATTATTTTGTCTTCTAGACAACAAATTTACAGCATATGCTATATTATATCTGGTCTGGTTGCACCAGCAAGATACAACAAACTCCCAATAGCCTCCCTATAAGGGGCATTGGTTATATCATTGGAATCATCTAGTTTTTCTTTGTTTTTGTTATTTCTGTTTTTGACTTGTCTAGTTATCATAGGTTTTCATTCCGAGAAAATTCTCTGGTTCTCCCAAGATTTTTATTTCAAACTTTGCTGAAATGATCTATAATTTCATCTCGTTTTTCTGGGTCATTGCTAGCTGCAATAATATCACCCACATATAAAATTAAATGGCAAATTTTCCATCTGTTCTCCAGGTGAATAAGCATGGTTCATTTAAGTCATTCTCTAAACCTATTTTCAATGCTTCTTCTGTAAACCTCTTATTCCAACTTTTAGGACTTATCTTCAATCCATATAAAGATTTCTTAAGCTTCCAGACCTTGGTTCTTCTAATTTCACCACTATAATCATAGCCTTCTGGGATTTTCATAAAAATTGCTTTTTCTAAAGTACCGTACAGAAAAACAGTTTTTACATCCATTTGTCTTTCATCTAAATCAAGTTTATTTATGATTGCTAGTGCAGATCTAATAACTGTCTTGACACTGGGGCATAAGTTTCTTTCAACTCATACTCATTTTCATCTAGAAAACCTCTTACAACCACTCTAGCTTTATAAATGGTTTCATCAGTTTTGCCAATTTTTGTTTTAAGAACCCATCTAGAATCCAATACATTAACATCTACAAGTCTATCCACTAATTCGTATACTTGATTATCCTCTATTGATTTGAATTCTTCTTTAATTGCATTAATCCACTCAGCACTATCCTCACGTAGCAAACATTCTTTGTAATTACATGGATCTTTGTTTACTGAGGCAAGCATAGCATGAATGAATTCTTCTTCATCTATGATCTTGAACTTTTCTGCTGTTTTGGCATAAACAAAATTCTCATCTATTTTCGGTTTTGGTTTTCTCTTTGAAATTTTCAACTTCTTAGATTCGGTATCATTTGATATGTTTTTATCTCGTTTACGTTTTCTGGACTTATCAGAATTAACTAGTTTTTCATCCGAGTCTGGAGTATATACATCCGATGATTCAGAATCTATTCTCCCATCAATTGAATTTTCATCTATTTTAATTGATGGAGAAACTTCAACTTCTAAATCCTCCGTTTTGTATACATCCTTATAAACTAATTTTTCATTAAACCGGACATGTCTTGAAGTTAGAAATGTGCCAGAGGTTGGCTCCCACAATACATATCCGGTACGTGAGTAACCTACCAGTATGGCTCGTATGGCTCTTTCAGAAAACTTATTTTCTGATATTGGAAGTTTTACATAAGCTAAACAACCAAACCATCTAATTTTGTAGATATGTGTGCTAATTCTTGCATTGAGTTTGTTTAATTGAGATACGAAACCATTGGTTTTGTGCGGTGTACGATTGTACATATTAACAGCTTTCAGCTGCCAAGATCCACATTGACTTAGGTAGGCCAGAGTCAAACAATAACGCTCTAATTTTTTGTTGTAATGTTTTATTAAATCTCTCTAACTGTTGTTATGAAACTTTCTAAACAATTAGCTGCTTTATTTCTGCAACATATATTTTAGCAAATCTAGAAAAATCATCTAAAAACACAATAATATATTGTGAGCTGCCGTTTACCTGTCTTTCGTTGACCATTGCGGTAAACAGAAGTCCGTCGTTTGTTTCTTCCTCTGCGGCATAGGACTGCTTTTTCCAATTCTTATTTCCCCCTTGATTCTGCTGTTTGTAATTATTATTCCTCTGGTATGCTTGCCTCTCTACGTGTAATCGTGTGTGGTGCGTATTATTGCAGACTTGACATCTGATTATTGCAGGCCGTGTTGCTTGGATGTTTTAGGCAATTCATGCAGATACCTTTGTTTTTTACCAACTGCCCTCGCTCGCTTGGTGTTTTGTTGTTGAAGATTTGGCACTGGGCGATGTAGTGTTGCCCTTGACAAATTGGACAGCCATGCCTTGATTGTTGATAGTTATGCGCTGTTCCAGTTGTTCCCGTGGTGGCAATTCCTTCCAACGATTGGAATCGCTTTTCTAAGAAGCTGAATATTTCTTCTAGAGGTTGAATGGCCTGGGGATCATCCAACCCTTGCTCGAATATTCTGTTTTTTTCTTTGCCCCATTATATTGCAATTATGCGCCCGATTATTGCTGGGCCCCAATCTTCTGCATTGAATCCCAGGTTCTTAATTGCTAGGAGACCCTCGTTTGTGGTGTCGTGTAGCTGACGAAGCTGTACAGCGGACTCTACGCTGCAACTTGTTTGGTCCAAGATTCTGTCGATGAGTTTTGACAAAATCAACCGCTTGTGGTTGTATCTTTCCTTTAGAATGTCCCAAGCGCTTGCATAATTGTCGCCTGTGAGTGATAGATGTTGCAGCAGTTTGGCAGCTTCACTCTTGGTATACTGCTTCAGCAATTGTAGTTTCTCCACATTGGATAGAGTATTATTTTCGTGGATGACTCGTAAAAATAAGTCATGGAACTCGGCCCAGTTCGGGAACCCACCTTCAAAAGTCGGGATCGTGACCTTTGGTAGCTTCATATTCCCACTATTTATCAGTGCTTTCTGCATCTGTTCATGTTTGTCGTCGAGTCCATTAATAATGGTATAGTAGTCTGTTTTTAATTGTGAATATGTTCCTGGCTGATAGGAATCTGCTAGAATCAAGTCCTCGAGAATTTCAAAATGCAGTTCTTCAATTTTTACCCAAAGGGAATTTAAACGTGATTTCCAATGGTTGATATTTATGTTTTCCATTGCTAGCGCGGCTGTTGGTAGGCTCATTTCTTCACGTAACGCGTTGCATCGTATTTGGAATCGTCGCACCCTGACGTCCGTATTATTGACGTTTCTAATGACGCTTGGAATATTTGTAGAGTCTTCGACTGGAAGATTGTTCAGTCGTTTGATTGCTTCTTCGTATCTTGACTTTATTTGGGCGAAATAATTTGTCTTGATGTATGTGTGATCAGGCAGATTGTATGATTGGCATAGGTCATGGTTGGTGAGGACTTTGATCCATATTTCGTTCAATGTTGCCTTCGATGTTTGATATTGGTTTCTGGTTCTGCCTATTGCTTTTGTGCCTTCTATAATGGCGTTGATATCCATGCCATATTGTTCTTGCTGCTTGACAAGTTTGTTTAGTTCTTCCATTGTTACTTCTGACTCTTGATTATAACGACTGTTGATTTTGGCCTTGCTTGGTTGTTTGACCCTTGATAATTTGTGTTTATTTGTGCGTTACGGGGCGTAAGTCCGTAATGCGAATTTTATCTCTCATGGAGAGATGCGGCCCGGGTTGTAAGGCCGTGCAGTGGAGTCTTATCGACTCGCAGTACTCCCTGACGAAGTGCTGGACTTCTTATCTTGTAAATATGATTCACTCACCCTCAATCAGAGCGTAGGCGATCAGACTCAGGTACTCGATCCCCCAAGTCTTTACGCTGTGATCCTGACGATGATGACGTGAATGCAAACGGGTTGTAAATCCGTTTACGATGATGATGCCTTCTCTTGGTGGATTCTTGTGTCCGCGATGTGGTTTGTCGTTGAGGATGGTGTCAACTCTGGTGATGAAGAATCGACTCGGACGTTGTGGCTCCCAATCCGGTTCGAAGTACCATATGTATAAGGACCCAGAGTACCGTCGCACTGGTAGATGGCAACTCCTTATGCAGGTTTGAGTTAGCAATATTTAGGGGTGAGGGAGAAATCGCCAGCTGAGGTTTTTAGGCTCATCGGTGCTGTCAAGTAACTCGTACAAGACTGAATTTACTACTGGTTTTATTCGTACAAAATCTTTGTATATATAGTCAACTTATCTACTATTTACTTATACATTAAACATGCACGCGTGTACAGTGCGTGGCGTGCGTGCTGCCCTTTTGGGCTGAGCGCAGCGATTGTGCGATTACGACCTTAATGGTTCCGCAAACAATCTGTCGATAGTTCGACAAATATAATCAAACTTCATACCTGCTTGTCGTGCTTGTGGCTTCTGATTATCTCCACCCTTTGGTGGAAAAGTTTGCTTACCGAATGCCTTTCGGTTGGTTTTGGCAAATCCCCTGGATTTA